TACACCGATTAGCCACAGCATTAAAACCAGTTACCTCTCTTAATGTTGCATGGACTTAAATATAAAATACAAAGAAAAAATGTTAATTTAAAATAGATTTAGTAACACAGGGTCATTAATAATATACACTGTGACATAGTGATATTATCATTTGAAACTCTTGCATATGGTGATTAAATACAGCTGAAGGATTAGCTACATTTTCCCTTGCAGACTGAGAAACTTCTACAAGTCCTGGGCTTATTAAAAGTTTGAAAACCTCAAGAGGTTAACAGAAGTACAATGTGGTCAAGTTTAAAACATTTTCTCATACAGTGCTTTCAGACTGCCGGCAGCTCAATCAACAGCTCACCAAGAGTCTGTTTGGTCTCTGACAAACGTTTGGCAGGAACTGACCATCAGCAGCCAGGTTTCCCCGCCCACTTCTTTTCCTACAAACGTTACAATAATTCTGTGAGTAAACATAACGCCTTGATACACAATGAACAGTTGATGTCTGCCATCAAGGGATTCCCTCAGCTACAAATATACAGTGTTGGGCAGTGGCGTCAATCACTACAATTATTAGCATTAGTAGCGTGGTGCTAACCTTGCTGTGAGCTGTTTTCAATAGCTTTTGAGTAGCGACGCTCTTCTATTGAATAAGCAGCAGCCTGTGTATCTGTTTGACAGACACTTACGTTGATCACTGACATATCACTGAAGTTGGTTGAGTCTTAAAATAAATGTTGGTATTAACTTAGCTTACATTTCTCTGGGGTTAGCATCAGTGTAGTGAAGCTTCATTTGATGATGAGTAACTGGTAGCTTGGCTATATTCATCTATACATTGATATTGTGTGTGTGTATGTTAACCTCACCTGGTCAGTAGATGACCAGGTAGTTGTTTCACTTAGTACCAACTATAACGAGTTTAAACTTCACATACACTACACAAGATGCCACGTAATCCTAGTTCTTTAGTTTGAATGTGACGAAAACATAGCTCCTTGGACTTTCTCTGCTGTTGTCTATCCAGTTAGCTCCGACGCTAATACACGTTAGCAAAGCAGTGTAGAGAACATTCAGCTAGCAGCTTCTAATTTTTAGCCAGTTAAAACTAGTTAAATCAGTTAAACCGTGGTTGTTATCACTAATTAATGTCAATACTGTGAGTAACTTGATGACAGGCCTAAATGAAACTTGGTATTTTGTGTGCTCTCTACCTGCTGCTGTGAGAACTTTGAGAGGGAAGAACCTCCACTCTGTAACACCACTGTACAACCACCGCTGTGTCTCTTTAGCTCCAACAACTTCAACTGAGTCAGACGTCTTCTTTCTAGCAGATCACTGTGAGTGGTGACATTCTCCCAACTGAACTTTCATTCATATCACATCAATAATTTAAGCTTATAAACTTTTTTTTTTTTTTTTGAACAACAGCCTTCAGTTCAAGAAGCTCATGAGTCCCCAGCTCTGTTATTTCAATGTGTCAGACACAGGCTATTTCATCAATATTTCAGCAACATAAATCAGGCTGATACCCAATGCTAAAGGACTTGGATCAAGACAGGGGCCAAAGAAACCTGATTGGGACATCCCTGATCCACCAAGTCATAACATTACTGACAGGTCAATACAACATAACCAGACTGTCACAAAATTATTAACATCATATATTCTGTGCTGAATGGGTGTTTTTGATGTGATGTTAACGATGCTGCAACCATGAAGTCAACCCATGTGTGAATTTAGCATTACACATTAGAATTTTCTCCTGGTTATTAATAAAGTAAAAGCACAAAAGCTAATAAATTACAAAAAAAGTAAAAAGGATAACCTTACTTTGTTACTTTGTTACTGTCACTCCCTAATTATACTGTGTATTTATATGTCAGACAGAGAGGGAGAATGAAGAAGTATTGTGAGATGATAACACTAAAAGATGCTGGGGCCATGTTCACACACACATTAGCGTAGCGTGATCGTTAGCAAAGCGAGGATACCGAAACAGAAGGCCCCACCAAATAACAGACGTCGATAGTGGTTGAATCGTACCTGAAGCCACAGGGCCTCACCAACACAGCCCTGTGCGTTTTTTTTTCCAAATATCTCTGTCCCAGTTCAGAGGGAATACTGACTGTAATGTCTGGTGAATAATGTGGGGAATACTGACTGTAACGACACAGATTGTATGTTATAAATGGGGCCAATAATGTGGGATTCCTTGGAGAATCAGATGTGCTCCAGCTGACTTACTCTGTAATCCCACCTCACTCTCTGATCCAACTTACACACACTCCAACACACACATATAGTGCACGCAGATAGAACATAAACAAGCTTTATCCTTTGATCATCATGTGGCAGAAAAAAAAGGACATTACAGGCGAGAGGAGTCAACAGAAATGCACAGAAAACTCGCATTTCAACATGCAAATAAGCCAGCGGGACGGAGACGCTCACATAACATCAAAGAGTGGGAACGACAAAGTCTGTTTCAAGTAATGTTGGCGATTCAAGTCTATATTAACAACCACTAATCAAATAAGTAGACTTTACACACACACACACACACACACACACTCACACACACACACACACACACAGCAGTGAAGGAAAGATGACTGAGCTGAGCCATTATAAAGAAGCGCTCCTGACCAACCCACCAAGCATCCAGTCCCCGCTAATTGGAGCGGAGATGGGAAGCATCATTTCAGCAAAAGCTAACCTCTAACCACCTGCATTATGAGCATGATGTTACTTAGCGAGCTTGAGAAGGGATAGAGGCGCTCCATGATTGGCACTTTTGATAGGAATATAGACGTAAAGATGTTGGCATCACTAAAGCTTAAAGTAATTTTCCTAATGTAGATTTACATATAAAAGTAAAAGGTAAGTGTATGGTCATTTAATCCATTGCATCCATTCACATTGCTTTATCATCACAATCAGTTAAAAAGCACCACATGTTAACCGCTGTCTCTTACTGCAGTGCTGCTTGGGATTTCTCTTCTAAAGATTGTACACAGTCCCTCTGACTTCTTACCAATCCAGTTTTAATGTAACTAATGATTCAACTGGAGCTCATCCAACTGCAACATAAAGCTCCAACAGCTTGTCCCCCAGCACTGTCTGTTCAAAAATTGAATATGTAGGGCTGCAACAAACAATTATTTTCATTGTCGATTACTTTCTCAACTGATCGATTCATTGTCCAGTCTACACAAGAAAAAATTCACAGAGCTGATTGTGAGATTTGTTTCTCACTGGTCTTGCTTGAAAAAATGACAGGTAGGATTAATCAATTACCAAAATAGTAGTTGATCGACTAATCGATTCATAGTAAATGGACTGCACATACAGTCAGCTATATAGCGTTTTATAGTCTTATTCACATCAGGGGCAATTTGAGGCTCAGTATCTTGCCGAAGGACACTTCAGAATGCAGACGGGAGGAGCTGGGAATCGAACCACCGACCTTACGAACAGTGGACGACCCGCTCTACCTCCTGAGCCAAAATCAATTAATTAACTAATCATTTTAACTTTATTAATATGAGTTCGCAGAGTTCTTACTTTTCACAACTCAAGGTGACCGATATGATCCCTCTTATTTTTTGTTTGTGTGCCACGAAAACATTTAGCTAGCCTTTAAGGTGCTCTACGGCATCCATTGTGCACTATCTTCCGTTAATCACTGCTTAGCTTGCTGTAGCTCTTCAAGGGCAAAAACACTGTAGAGAAGAAGAACCTGAACTTGGTCAAAACCAACATTTCCTTTACTTTTTGTGTCAAGTTTAGCTTTGCTGAACTTTGGTGCAAATCGTCATGACCATGCTGGTCTCTGAGGGAAAGGACAGCAGAAAGGAGGCTATTGCAGGTCATTATCACCATCCATATTTACAGTGTACAACCCTTTTTATTGTATAAACTCATCCACAATGAGGCATGATGTGTTGACAGTTTTGAGACAAATAGCTAGTTCTCTTGAATAATCTGTACTGGAAATGAATTATGTCTGACTATGACTAGCATGTACGGCTAACCAGCTAGCGCCACCTAGCAGTGAGAGTGAACACAAGCTTCCGGCAGCACCTATTTCACAAGGATTTACTGATGAACATCACTGTGCAGCACATCGTCTGGACCTTTCAATAAACTGCTGAATAACATTAATTAACATGTGACCAAAAAACAACAGACTCAAATGATAGACACAACTGACTGAAAATTACACAAGCCTGAATCTTGGTGGTTACTTATCTCATTTGTCGGCCTATGTCTACATTTGTAATAATGAATCACAGTGTCTGATCAGAGTCCAGATACAATCAAGAAGTTCAAGTGAAACATGTCACAGACACACACACACACACATACACACACACACACGATGGAAGTCATTCCTCCAGACAAGCAGCCTGGCAGGAAAGGTAACTGTGAGACACACTGAGCGCCTGAATCCAGCCTAAGCCAGCAATGCTACGACGGAGGACCACAACATCAGCTAGTCTCTAATGATTCAACAGGATCTGGACTGGACTTATCAGACTGATCGTGTCCATCTTCACAGCAGAAGCTAGTGTTGTACACTGATAGACGAGGGCTGTGTGTGTTAAACAGGAGACAAAGTCACTCAGAAGGTAGAGAAGAAACCTATTTTCAGTGACACCAAACCTCCTAAATATAAAACTAGAAATCTAAATGAGGCGACTGTCCAACACCATCCCACTTAGATTATTATACAAATTGCATAATGATGGCTTGAGTCACAATTTCAAAACATAGTAACCAGAACACGAGTTTGTCTTTTATACTGTTGACTCATCCAAGGTGTAAAACAGACTCCACAGCAAAACATGAATGTGAGGCAAAACAACAGACTGCCAGCTCTCGGAGGTTGTTATGGGCCACTGAAGTGACAGTAAAGTGACGTAAAGGCAAATATTAGCAATGAACTTTAAACTTATTTTAGGACCAGTTTTTTAACTTCCTGTCTGACTAGTGTTGCCACTCACCGGACGTCGTTTTGCTGCGGAGGTTTCTTCTGCCCGACCAGGTTTACCGTTCTTGCTTGGATAGGCTTCTCTTCTCTGAAACACAAAGTTAGAAAAGCACAACATCTTACTCTGAACTTTTGTTGGCGTTCTTGTATTTTTGCATTTGGTTCATTTATATAATTTCAAACTCCCTGTTTGCAATGAATGGTTAGCTAACAGACTTAACAAGACTTGCTTGAAATGTTTTTTTAGAGGTTGCTGAAAACGCCTTGCGGCAGCTGTGGAACTGCAGGGGGGGGGGGGGGGGGGGGGGTCCTGTGGATAATGTGTGCCACTTGTACAGGAGTCAGGGGCTGGGTGAGGGTGTCTGATGATTAAAGACCCGAAACACCCTGTGACCCCAAGTTCATCACTGAAGACACATCCGAAGTAGCACCAGGTGTGCTTTTGTTTTTTTGAACAGACTTCACCTGTCAATATTGTAAAACTTAATGGGTGAAGGATTCATAAAAAGTCTGACGTCATTCCTGTAACTATCACAACACTTGTCTGAACTCAGATCAGATCATCAGGATCCAGACTGAGGTTTGCCCTGGGTTCATTTTGCCATGCTTGGATTTCGTGTCAGTATCTACTAGCTTTCAAATGTGAATATTTGTCTTCTTATCCTCAGAAAACCTCATGTTTTGATATTATTTACTGCCATTATTCCAGACTGAAGCTTGAATTTTTGAGTCTCAGCTCAGCTATTTTGCGTCGAATGATAGTGCAATCACTCACAAACCAAACTTTAAAAATAAAGCTAATGTTTTAAATACAAACTGAACTGATAAAGACTGTTCATTTAGACACTCAGGATACCTTTAGGGCTCTGATGACAGGCCTCAGACAACAGTGGCATGCTTTCAATATGTCCACTGACACATTCGCAGTGTGATTCAAAACCATCTCATCCATAAACATGAACAGTGGGCTCTGATCACTCTGATCACAGAGGGAACTCTGAAGAGAGAAATCCCCGCCAACACCCACGCTGTCTAAAACAGAACACGTCTTTTTATCGTCAATACTGTGGATACCCCTCTCATTATCAGACACTTTTGTCACATTAAAAATGGCAATAGCTCTTTGTTCCTCAAAGATACAAAACCATCTTCTGTTGTACTGACTCTATAAGTGATTCTACAGTGGTGACTGAGGCATATTTGACAACCTCGGGTTTTACCGTAACCTAAAATCAGGCATGCTTTTTTTTTTTTTTGGTAACAAATTTTCAAATTTCTGGATGTGTTTGTTTTGTGGATGTATTTTAGGTGTCCACTGATTTCCATTCACTTCTATATGTTGTGAAAATACAGACTTACTTGAGTTGTGTAAATCAGTGAACATCATGTGAGCATTATTTTTCAGTATTACACTATTGTTACATGGGAATGCAGATGAAGAGCAAACCGGTTTGCCCTGCGTTAGCTTAAAATAATAATGTTACTTGGATGGATTACACACAAGCCGATCCCAGAGATGACTGGGATCATAACATGTAATAAAAGTTAAAACATTAACAATATGGTTTACACAATGGTAAGTTGTAATGTCAGATTCCACTCTTGAATGTAAGAAAAAAAGCCTGACTTTTCTAAGACACTTCACAACCCTCTGGAAACTATCACACTGTGGAGCTTTTTCCGCACACTGATATCTCGCATTTTCTAGAAATCAGATTGAATGCATCACAGGTAGATCAGCACAGCTAAAAATGAACACTTAAAAACACCTTGCAAAGAATCTGAAACTGTTCAGCACATCTTGCATTTTAGCAGAGAAAAAAAAAAACTATTGTACCACGCACCTACGGAACATTTTTACAGTGGATGTGCAGTATATGTGTGTTATGTGTTTCCTGTTTCTATCCTCGAGGTGAAGGCAGTGACATATTGTAGCTCTCAGTGGAATTAAAATACACTAAGTGACACATTTGATCATACACATCATCCAACTATTGGCAGAGAGCACAGCTGCTTTTAGCCCTCAGCTATGCTTTGCATGAATACGTACATGGAGTGAGCATTAAGGAGGATATCCTACTGGCTAAAGTACCAATCATTTTTTTACATGCACATGCTTTGGGTATTTGTAGTGACTGATTGACTTAACAGTGAATTTCTATGGTTGAATACAGCGATGCTCTTAACTGCATGGATGCTCTGTTACATTGCCCATAGGGAGACAGGCTGCACTGTAATATGTTCCTATACTTTACTTTTCCATTCACAATGTATAATTGGGATTTATGCACAGGACTGTAGCAGAGTTTGTTTACAGTTTACCCATCTTTCTTTCTGTGAGTGAAAATCATACTTATGAATTAATGACAGGACGTCATTGTTTATCTACACTTTATTTAACATTACATCACTGCTGGTATGGCTGTATACCCTCAGGTAGGTCTGCATACATATACTATGATCCTATACACTTTAATAGCAAGAAAACTGACGGTGAGTATACCTTAAACTGCTCAGAAGAGGAGTGTGTTCTCTACCTCTCTGCATTACAACCCACACGACCCTACTGCTAGTACACTCACCGTGCATGTATTAGTCAAGCTGTGCAGCTTTTCTGTGTAGGATTGCAATCGTAAAGACACACACACACACACACACACACACACACACACACACACACACACACACACAGCTTTCCTGTGGCAGTGATGAGAGGAAACGGTGCTGAAGCCAATATAGGTTAAGACATGTATGTGCTGACAGCCTGCCTTATTTGCAGCCGCTACAGTATGACACGACTGAATCCACGACTCCTAATACATTAGCCTATACTGAAAATGATGCATAGCCACTTAGAGCCGGAGTTATATATTGGACATTTCCTTCTTTAGATGCAATGAATCGATCTTCCATTCCAGTGCTGGGCTATCAGTCCGCGCAGAGGGCTTAAAATAGAACAGGGACGTAAAGCTTGAGGAGTGCCTTGCTTAGGTGGGTCGCTCTCTATCTTTCTAGCTGCCAATGTATGCACGCAGTTTCATGCAGACCAGGCAGAAAATGAGAGAAAGGCAGCGTTTCCACTTCATACATTTTTCTGGTCCTGGAGGAAAGGGGGTGGATGTGGGTTGATTTCTGCAGCGATCGCAGTGACAAATGAATCTGGAGGAGACTTTTCTCCATGCATGTATATGGTGGTGGTATGGAGGAGGAGGCAGAGGTGGATGCACACAGTGAATGTAAGTCACTCCTGATTCAAAATGACATTACACAGGCACCTTTTCCTCCCCTGTTATAGGCCTACTGGTTCTATAACAGCCTGTGTGATGTCTGTTGCAAGAGCACTGGCCTACATACAGTGCATAAGGCTGGGAAAGGCTCAACCGCACCCCTGAGCTGAGAACAGCAGCTGTTGAGATGGATGCTGCACAGATAAAAGCCAGCAGGGAGGGTTTTACTTTTACTATTCTCAACGCCGGGCTTCAGTGAGCCTCCTGCAATTTCCTGCTGCATCCATCAATGAAATGTTTCAGGTGAAGTCCAGATACTCTCCACTTGACTCAGGCATTGGTGTGAATGGTTGTGATGATATGCAGACAAGTGCAGATGAGAAATTAGTTCTTATTTTACATCTGAGTGGAGTGTGATGTTGCTGATAAAGGGGCATGGTGACACACCTTCATCCTCCCACGATTCTCTTCTTCCTTCCTCCGGAGCAAAGTTAACCCTCACCCACCACTCGCAGAGTCTCTCCTGGGAGCAGTGAGAATCTGCAAACTGGACGCAAACCTGGTCTAAACTGGCCCGTGCATGTTTTCTCTTGCACAGAGCTGAAGCCTTGATGAGCTTGTGAGTGAGAGAGTGAGTGAGTGAGTGAGTTGTGTGTGGAGGGACCTGCAGGATGTACACACACACACACACACACACACACACACACACACACATGCATGCATGGTCAGATACAGTGGAGCAGAGAAAAAGTCCTGATGCTGAAACATGTCATCCATAGGAGCTGGATGGTCTTCTGAACGGAAATAGCCCAGGCCCAGTCTCTCTCTCTCACACACACTCACACTCACTCACACACACACACACACACAAACACTATCTTTCTCTTCTCTCTCTCTCTCTTACTTTAACATGGCCTCCTCCTTCGCCTCCTCCTCCCGTTGCCGAGCCAGCACAGCCATGATGATCTTCCTCTCCTCCTCCGTCAGATGGCTCAGGTCCGGCTCCGGGATGGCCGCGGCGACGGGTGGGCGCGGGCCGCCCCGAGGGCCCACCGAGGCGAACATCTTCCCCACCACCACCACCACCTTCCCTTCCTCCCTCCCTCCTCTTCCTCCTCCTCCTCCTCGCCTCGGTCGGGATCACGGATAGAAAACCCGCTGGCGGAGCCCACGGATCACGACATGGCCCACGGACAAAGCGGCGGTTGGAGCGACTGATGCGGAGTTCCCATGGCGGTGGCGGGGGGCACCCAGGGCGGCGGCGGCGGCAGCGGCGGCGGCGGCAGCAGCAGCAGTGTCGGTGCTAGCTGTGGTGGAAGTAGCGGTGATGGTGGTCCCGGTTGCCGTTTTCAGCCTCTGCTTCTCCCTCTTGCTGCTCCGCTGTCTTCTCCCCCCACCCCCCTCCCACCGCCCGCCCGCCCACCTCTCCCCTCCACCACCTCCGTTTTACGGGGAGCCCATATCACCGGCGCTCGGTCGGGATGATAGTACGCGGGAGGGGGATCTCGCTTCCTTTCTCAGGCCAAGCAGAGAGAGGAGGTCCCTGGAGACGGCTCAGGTCGCCGCTCGGTCCGGTGGGCTTCTCCGTGTGGCTGCAGGGCGAGGCGGCGACTTCTTGTTTTCCAGCGCCGCCGCTGATGCTGATGCTGATGCTGCTGTCAGGGAGACGGAACCGTCAATGGGACCGCAGCCCCTGAAGCGCGCTCACTTCTCTTGTGGCGGGAGCGCGCAGCCCTCATTTGAGAATGGGGGGCTCCACTCACCGTTAAGATGCGCGCTCACGCCAGCCTATAGCACACACAGGAAATAATGGGTTCCTCTGGGGTGCATTGTGGGTTTTGTAGGACCATAGCCAAATGACAGGGACGTTTAGAATAAGTGTCAAACAAGAATTCCTTTAATATTTAATTAACCTCATGACGGTCGGTTAGATATCCCTTAATTTTACCTAAATTATATAGCCTATTATATTATAAATATATGATTGTGATATAGCAAAGATAATATTGCATGGCTACCCCTTAATTTGCACGTTTTCCAAACGACTCACCCAAAATTTAGGGTAAATTATAAGATAGGCCATCAGTAGCTACTACATTAAGGGTTTTTAATGTATGGATGGATTAAGGGTAGACCTATTTAAGGCCTGACCAGATAACATGAAAACTATCCCAGACTTTACTTCATGAAATATTTAGACCCTTAGATTACAGATTAAGGGATTTCTATTTCATTTTTAAATCTAGCTACTAAATAACATCACACCTATCACTTAATTTAAAGGCCCTTACTTTTTCAATTTAAGGTTCAACTTCAGGGGTTTGCCTGAAAATCTGGATTTATTAATGGATAAATAAATAGATCATAATGTATTACGGGGTATTAATTGGTTTTCTATCTGATTTAAGGGGTTTTAATGAGGCAAATATCAAATATTGATCAAATAACTCAAAATACATCCCTAAATTTCCACATTAGTTAAAAAGTTAAGGTGAAAATTTCAAATTCAGGGATGACTTGTCCCCCCTTAAAGCCTCTTCAAACCATTGAGATAATCAATTATAATGCAATCCATTGATTTATCCTGTGAAATCCCCTTATATTCTCATTGAAATGTCTTTAAATTATTATTTATTAGTTAAAATTACATTATTACTTATAGATAAATTAATGGAACTGTAAGATATTTAATGAAGGTATTCCCTTTCACAGTGACCCTAGAGTCATTATCACTTCCCAACCATTATTTAAGTTTATCAAGGTGTAATAGAGCAAATATCTTTGCAATAAACTAATAACTGGTAAATATGCAGTGTACAAGATAATAAAATATTTAGGAAATAATGAATGTAATTCTAAAGAACCATTTTCTAGTATTGTATGAAACCTTTTACAGTAAGAGTGTACGGACTCTCCTCCTCCTCCTCCTCCTCCTCCTCCCTCCCACCAATCATTGCGTGTTAGAATGACGCTCATCCCCCTTTTTTTGTCCTTCCTCCCACCCTTCCTCCCTCTCTTTCCCTCCATCGCTTCCTTCTGTCCTTCCTCCTTATCCATCCTTCCAACAGTTCCCAGCATGCACATGCACACACACACACACACACACACACACACACACACACACACACACACACACACACAATATGAAAGCAGCCAGATGTTTACCACAGTCATGCACACATAGGATGACATTTACAGCATGTGAGTGTACAACATTTTAATCACAGGCTGTGGCAAAGTATAAATCACACATACAGTACTGCATAAGACAGGATAATTTATTAAGTCTGGTCATGATGGTCTAAATTTGGAAACAGGTTTACTTTATTAGACTATTCTTAGCAACAAATGTAGATTTATTAAAACCCGATTTCTGAGCTGCTAAAATTATTAATTGTTGGCTATGGCTTCATTTACAGTTTGACAAGTTATCATACAGCTAATAAAAAGTTAGATGGGGAAAATATACTTAGAGGAGCAGGAGCTGCAAGTTGCATCAAGAAAAAAGATAACCATGGCTTAGACCAAATGCTTCATCATCATCATCATCATCATCACCATCATCATCATCATCATCATCATCATCATTATCTTATAACTCATCCAAACCAAAACAAAGCTAATTATTTTCCTCAACATTACTGCCAGCATGCAAGTGTTTGACTTATTCAACTTTCATCCACATATCTCACTTTTCAAGTAGGTAGGCTGAAGAAGAGTTCACCCACCCCACCCCCCTCCTCACACACACACACACACACGGTGGTTGCTTGCATGATGTTTAACTAAATCTGCTGTGCCTTGGGTTATATTTTACTGGATTGGCATTGATTGAAAATAAAAGTTTCGCAATTCTGACTTCATAATAAAAAAGCTTATGTTTTTACTAGTACAGAACAGTACCGTGCAAATGGGGTAACCCAGCATACTGCTACTAATACTACTAGTTTAATGACTATGACCTACGACTATTAGGAGACGTATTTTATTTTGAAAGTGTCACATCCCGGAAGTGCTATTGCTTTTCTGAGTTTTATGTCTCCTCGTTGATATTTTGGTAAGAGAAACAGAAACACCTGTTTTTTCCTTCTTATATTCATTGTATGATTAGAATTTGTGCATTTGCAGGTTTACTGTCTGTCGATGTCTTGATAGGCAAAAAAGCGTAAAATGTCCGCGTGCTGTTAAGCTGCTTGTAAATAGGTCAATGTTCAGAGTAAGTATGGTGCAGTGAGAATTTTATCAAGCGAAGGCTTTAGTAAATTGCAGAGTTTTACACGTAACGTTTGGTCGTTTTTATTCAGGGACAGGTTGCAGGGTTAGCATACTAACCTGTAGAAGCCCTGACATTCAAAACATCGTTATGTCCGCGTCTTCCTGTTGGCTTTAACATGAGGTCAGCCTTTTCTCACGTCTTCTGCACACACACACACACACACACACAATCACCCTTGATATATTTTAGATATACCCTATAACCTGTTTAATACAGCGAACTTAAGGTTAGCTTAATTTTATTTCATCACCATGGTGACAGCACTAGTGGCGCGAGACCACTAGAACTTTATGGTTTATGGCACTGGTTAATGCTTTTATCCACTAGACTGTAATCTGGTGAAACGAAACAAAGTTATTGCAGAGTTCATTTTTTAAAATAGTTGTATAATAGTGTGTGAAGCCAAACTAAAACGCTAGAAACAGTTTCAAAAGAAATTAAACAGGTAATTAAAATACTTGATAGGAAAATGTTTAGGACTCTATATGCAAGGTTCATAACGACGAGTATTTAATGTGGAGGCGGTGGAGAAGTTTTCTAACCTGGATTTAAAGGTGGTCAAATCGTATCTCCTTGAAGTTTGTTCTGTGATGCAGAGTAACTAAATGCTGCTTCTACGTATTGAGTGTGGACTCAGAAAACAGTTAGCAGACTGATAGCAGATGACGTGAAAGGCTGAGAGGACTAATACCAGTGGTGTGCAGTGACTGCGTGCAGTGCAGTGACTGTTACAGGGAAGCTACCCCCAACACCAACGTCAAAAACATAGACCATACTGAAACATACCTTTTCATGAAGAAGTTTTAGGATTATTCTTCTGAACTGATAGTAAATAAATAAATATCAAATGTGCAGAATAGAGGGAAATATCTAAAATCACTTCTGTGGTAATCTTCAAAATATTTACCATTAACTGACAATGACACACTCCAGTGACGATGCAGAATCCTGTTTTTACCTGTCTCAGTGTTGTTAACCTTCCCTGGCACATATATCATCTGGACTGTAGTTGGGAAGCACAGGGGAGATGCAGGAACTTGGATCTTGAGGAGCTGTAGCATTTATTTACTGACAAACAGCTTAAAGTGCACATTCATTCACTGCTACGTTCACAGCTACAGTGCTAACTGCTAACTAATCTCTCTCTCTCACCCGCTACGCATACAACCTATGTACTGATCTATTCCTGAAAGAAGCTGCTCTACTCCTGTAACAATATTCTATCTCAAACTTCTCAAACTTGCTGCAGATCTCACACAGAGTTAATAAATCAGTGTAATTTGCTCATTTACTGCACAACTTCAGTTTCCACATACTTGTCTGCACATGCGTATAATGCATGCAATATCATAACTGATCTCAGAACAGTTGAAGCTGAGACATAAACGTAGACACCGCCATTGGCGGCTGGATCGTACGGCAACATCGCCGCCATATTAGACTAGGCAACACTGCCCTGTAAACAAGCACAAGTGAATGAAGGAGCTGCAGTCTTTCTGGATATAAAGCACTATATTGTTTATATTTCTCAACTGATTTCCATTAATAGTTTTTATATTCGAGGGGTTTATGATCTATGTGAAGTAAAGATAAAAGTTATGTCTCCAGTTACTCAGAATCGTGATTGTTTAGGCTGTAATCACTGTTTTCCATGAGGAGGAGTGTGTATCAACTTTAGGTTTACATGAGCATTAAAGGGCTTTTTATCCTCTGTTTATTCCTATTTCTTTACAGGGCAGTCTTGCCCAGTCCAATACGGTGGCAACGTTGACATATTGCAGCAGTGGGCAGAAACTACCAATGCGGAAGTCAAGCTAGCCACCACAAGTGGGCAGTAAATTACATGATGAAAACAGGCATGAGCTCCTTTATGGGATAGAACGCTGTTCTGAGATCAGATGTAAAGAGACAAATCACTTCCACTTCAGTATCATTCTAATTCATGTCTATTTTTAGCTTTAACTGGGCAAACACTGCTTGCCTTGCTTGCCCTGACGGCACGCCACTGATTCATATGTTAAAAGACACAGAAATCGTCTCAGATGTTTATTACAGTCCATTGAATGAATGAAACTGTCATTATGTGATTTTTACGTACTTACAGACCTTTCTTCACTAAAAGATTTACCAGACTTAATTCAAACATATCTATTTTGACAGTAGAGCAGAGTAGTGCAGGACTGCTGGAAATTAAACTGCTAGAAATATCCTTTATGTCAAACGCTGCACATTTGAAACTAGTATTTACATCTTGTTTTACATCATATCTCTCCTTAGTTCCTTCTGAGGTGATTGACATGTTGCCAGTGTTGGTGGTCCATGGAGGGGCGGGTCATATCCCAAAGGAGCGGTCAGAAAAGTCCACTGCAGGGGTGTGCTCAGCAGTCCGAGCAGGGTACGCCATCCTCCAGGGAGGGGGCAGCAGCATGGATGCGGTGGTAGAGGCTGTGTCCCAGCTGGAGAATAATCCCTCCTTCAATGCAGGTTATGTCAAAACACAACACACTGTCACGTATCTTATACATACTGCATTGTTTGGGTTGCAAATGACCATGGACTTGCATTGAATTGCAATAATTCCTGCTTGCATTTACGTTCTTCTGGGAAGTCTGGGAATCTATTTATTTTAGAACAGTAAACCAGCAAGAGTTCTCTGATGCTAACAAAGCTAACATGAGCAGTGTAGAAGTGTCAGATAATATAAATCAGAATCAAACCATGAAAACTGTTACTGGACAGGAAGACGACATTTGTGGTCAAGACGTTGTCATGTCCATAGAATGAAAGAATTGAGAACAACATATTATTGAATATTTATTTATATTCTCAAAATCACTTACCATTAAATCAAAAGGTCCAAAATATTTTTACAGGTTACAGATATTGGTCCTTGGAACTCCTTCATATCCTGTTCCCAGAAACAAAACACTGTCCATACTCATAAAAATTCATTTTAAACTATGGGTAACCCAGCCCACCACTAATAGCCAGGTTGTAAGCTGTGGCTGAATCCATGTTGATTCATGTTATTTTACATTGTTAGTGTGTTAATAATGTGCTGCTGACTTTTGTCAAATAGTGGGTGATAGTGCATGTGTCATATTTGGTTTTGTCCATGGATCAATCTTTGCACCCGGAACATAACTACACAAACAAAACAACTTGTGGATCTTGGTATTGTAATCATGTTGCTTGTTGTGCACCTCAATGCAATAAAAATGTAACAGACACAGTGAACTACACAGGTGGCTTTGTTTGTGGCCATAAATTGTGTTTTGAGGTGTATTCTAAGGACAGAGGCGGATTCAGTGCCTTAGTTCAGTGGTCAGTGTGTCACTTATCAAGATTCAGGTTATTTATTCACAAGGCTAAACGGGATGCGAGGAACAAGATGGACAGACTTTCACTGGATAGAAATACTCATTTAGTAAATATATCCAAAATATGAAAAAGTCAGCAGTATCTTGCTCTTGAGATTTCTGCCAGTGTAGCAGACAAAACTCTGGCAGTTTGGGCAAAGTGAAACTTTAATAACTAATTTGCATAACTAATAAGAAACATGTATGAATGTTTTCATGTTCTTCATGTTCTTGATAATCTTGAATTAAAGTCAGCTTGCCTTATTTTAGCCTGTGTTGTTTCTGGATGATAAGAATGCAGTCTGTTTAAGTGATTGGAGAAGGGTGTTAATTTTTTTTCAGCTTCCAAAAAGGGGGATAACAAAAATGTTGAACATGGCATTAAAAAATGAAAGTATGACATCAGTATTAGCAGTTCCTAAAAGTGTTAACTAACTGGCTCCACCATCAGGCCAAAGTTTGCGCTTAAATCTCTATAACCAATGGACAGATCGCTGTGAAATGTATGAATCACTCACACACCAAATGTCACCTCTGTACACAAAAGACTATTTGTTCCCAGAGGCGAGATCTCATGGAGCTGTTTTTCAAATCATATTTTAGGGTGTGGGTCAGTGCTGAATGTCAAAGGAGAGGTGGAGATGGATGCCATTGTGATGGATGGGAAAACATTGGGAAGCGGTGCAGTGTCTGCGGTACGCAGCATAGCCAACCCTGTGCAGCTAGCAAGACTGGTTATGGACAAGGTGTGTATGCGTTAAGGACTGATGAGACATGAGTGTGCAGATAAAGCTTAACACACTCAGATACAGTCATCTATCTGTGTAGCTGCAACATCTCAGAATTTTAACAAAAAGATAAACACAGATCTACATCACAGCTTTGTTAATGCCAGCAGTCTTTATAGGTTTCAGAGTAAACATAAGTGTGTTGTGTGTGTCCTAAGAATGAAAATAATGTATCATGTACCCCGTAGAAATAAAGGAAGAACCATAGTTATGGCTGCAGTATAGTTTGCACAGTGACTTTCAAATACAAAAAGGTTTTGTAATTGTTTAGAGATGCATTTTATAGATGTGAACTTTGACCTCTGTTTCAGACAAGTCATGCTTGTCTGACAGCAGAAGGTGCCACTCAGTTTGCTTCAGCCATGGGTGTCCCTACAGTCCCCCAAGAGTCCCTCATCACTGAGTACTCCCGTATGCGCTGGAAGAAGAACTTGGCACCCGATGCCAACCCTGTGGAGTGCCAAATGTGAGACATAGCATCATTTTAAGCTTATTAGCATACGTTCCAGTAATGATGCGTTCCTTAAGAAAGGAAATAGACTGAGATATGAGTCCTTGCAGACACTTCTCAAACCACTCCTGCTGCATAATCCACTTCTGGTGCTGATGCAGGTTTAGTGAATGTGAATTTGAGCATGAATCAACCCTGTGATAGACTGGCAGCCTGTCCAGGGTGTACCCCGCCTAATGTCAGCTGGGATCGGCTCCAGCCCCCTAGCGTCCCTCAAAGGATAAGTGGGTAAAGCTAATGGATGGATGGACACTTTCCATTTGGCTAAGGTGGCTCCTCGCTTCCCTCAGTCATGCCTCTTAGCTTCTCTCAGTGGGGATACAAGAGAGAGAGGTGACAGAGATACATGAGGCTGGTACAACTGTATTTACCAAAGAGCACCTCCTCAATCTCTCCTGCATCATTTTGAGGAAGCAGCAATTACTTGAACAGAAATAATTTCTTTTACTGTCTCATTAGATCAGCTGACCAATCACTGAACAGTTCCCATTGAAGCTTTGCTGTCTGGTACAAAAAAACTTGGATGAGGTTTAGGAAGCGAGCACACAGAGTACTTTGAGAGGAATCTATGGATGTTTTGACAGGTTTTTCTGCTGTGACTCTGGGTCATCATTGGAATTCATTGTTACCGCTGTGAGTCCCAAATGTTTACAGCTGCGCCCTCTGCAGAAGAGCAAGATGCAAACTGTTCAGAGACATGTTTCAAGCCTACAGGCAGGGAAGACCTCATACTGTTCCTCTAACCTGGGTTTAGTTTGCTGTAACCAGGTCACTGTATGAAACAGGTTTTTTGTGTAGCAGTCTTCACAATAACATTAAGTCATTCAAATGTCATTCTGTTGTTCCTTCATGTTTTTTTGTGTAGGGGGAAGATGGGCACAGTTGGAGCTGTAGCAGTGGATAGTGATGGCAATATAGCCTGTGCAACCTCCACTGGTGGAATGCTGAACAAGATGGAGGGAAGGGTGGGGGACACCCCCTGCATAGGTCAGTCTTCACACATGTATTTTGGAATTTTATGCCTTTTAATGAAATGTTTTGAAAGAGAGAGAGAAAGACCAGTTGGAATTTCAGTCTAACAAGAAAAGTTGAAAGTCCCTTTAAGACTCATTGTTCCTGCAGTCTGTTGGCCTGTGACCAGGAGAAGTTTGACACGTGTGGTTAGTCAGTAAACAAACTTGGTTAATAATTGACAATGAGTTTTGTCTTTTCTAAAAACAAACTCTGCTGACACACATTGCAATGTGCAACCTTTAATTCTTATATAGAGAAAAAATTAAAACCATGATTTCAGAGCCTCAGCACTGAGTGGTTTATACTAATAACCTAATGTTCCTGAGGAATGTGCCAGAACCCAAAGTGTAATTTGAGAGGATCAGTATATATTGGTGTAACAGGGTCTAAATTATCTTTGTTGTTGTTTTCTACTCATGTTTAGTAAACATCAGCGTATTTTGAGAATGTATTTTGGCCATGTCAGCCCTGTTTAATCTGTTACTATCAGTAAATGACTGATTAGACTGTCATGAGTCAGAGGAAGGTTTACAGCCAAGCAGCAACCTCCGGGGCTGAAAGATGAAGCCAACACTGAAGTGCCAGAAACTGACCAATGACCAATGTCCTCCAATGACCACTTGAGGCTGGCTCCAAGAGAAAGTCTATCCCCAAATGTCCAACTTTACGGCAGAAATAAACCTAATTTCCTCCTTCATAACAACTCTATGGGGGCGTGGCCACTTTGAGAGACAGGTGGGCGAGCGATGCTTGCCACAAACCAGCATGCACCGAAGTCTCGGCTCCACACATGCCCCACCTCTTAGCCTGTTTTTGGATTAGCTGGGAATTAAGGTGGAGTCAGACACTGCCAAGATGGCGATGGAGGAGCAGCTCACTCTGAACTTCAAAACCGCTCTTCAGAAACCTGTGGGTGACGTCACAGAGGCCACGTCTGCCTTTATTTACAGTCTATGATCACAGCCTCTCTCTCTTAAACAGATGTCTGAAATCACAAACCAATGCTCTCAAGTTGGCAAAATTATACAACAACAAGTTGAAACAGTTTAATGTGGAACAACTGCTCATTTTCACATAAGACACAAACTTACAGAGCATAGAAACAAAGCAGTTTGCTTCTTTGCATCAGTCGTTTTTACAGACTGGAATCTCTTTTTTATGCTTCATAATTTCTGTAAATTCTAGTTAAAATGTGAACTTCTCCTCTTCCATAATAATTGTGTCACTTGAACTGGAATATTTGAAAATTCAAATAATTTGACATGATTAAAATACAACTGAGATCGGGGCAATAGAGTGTCAATCTTTGCTTAATTTTGTTAATGCATGCAGTATATCTCAAGAAAATATTATCTGAAGCATTACTCTTCCATCTAGTGAAATGGATATGTAACAGCATTCTCACACAAGTGCTGCTGGAATCCCTCGTAAACAAGAAGAGAGTAACAGATTACATTCATTTGCATTCATAAGCAAAATGCTGCTGTAAATACTTAAACTGCGCTAACTCATCACTATTTGTGTATTAACAATGGGTCAAATATGGAATGTGAAAGTTGTCACTTGTACAAACAATCCCAGAGAATTATTACCTAAGCTCCACTCAGCTCTGTAGAGCATTGTAGTGTCTTTCATGTTATTTAGGTTGACTGTTTACTCATCAACCTCATTCCTAGCTGCAGCAGGCAGCTGTTTCTGGCTCAGATAAACCCACTGTACACTACCTGCCCAGCACCAAACAGCAGACAGACAAAGTTAGCAGCTAGCTGGTGAGAATGGCAGTGCATTTACTGTAGCAGCTTAAGAGACAGATATATTCTTCAGGAGCTGGTGGCGACCAAACCAGAGCTACAAAGAGTGAACATTGGACTTACATTCTTCATGTGGCCAGAAAACATCCAACTCACAAATTAGTTTGAAAGTTGCGAACAGCAACACATTACCAACATGTTCATTTCATGTGGTAATACTGTAAGACTGTGTTAATAGGTTGTTTCTGCTCTGTTTCTAGCTCACTTGTTTTTCCCCACAAAATGTTTCAAATTGAGTTTATATCAGAAGTTAAACAATTCAAACAAATAAACAGTTTCTGTCACTCATGGGTAATGTGATGTTTTTTTGTGTGTGTGTGTGTGTGTGCACTCATGTTAGGGTGTGGGGGTTATGCTGACAACAAGATCGGAGCAGTATCAACAACAGGCCACGGAGAAGCCATCATGAAAGTTACTCTGGCAAGAGTCATCCTGTTCCACATGGAGCAAGGTAACACGCACCTTTTTCCTCCTCACAGTGAATACAAGTGAGTATACAGATGTGGAGATGATGGAGATGTAGTAGACTAAGAGTCACAATAAGAAAGAAGCATTTCATCCATCATGAACATGATTTGATGGTTGCTCCCAGATTTGATTGAGTTCACTGAAGTTCAAAAGTACAGAGGATGTGGCTAACTGAGTCTGACTGACTCAGTTCATCTTGATGAACGTTTCATCTTCTTTCCTCTTCTCTTCTCTCAGGTCAGTCAGTAGAGGCAGCCAGTGACTTGGGCTTGGCCTACATGAAGTCCAGAGTGGATGGGCTGGGTGGGGTGGTGACAGTGGACCCTCAGGGCCACTGGGCAGCTCGCTTCTCAAGCCTGCAAATGTCCTGGGGTGCAGCCCAGAAAGACACCCTGCACTATGGCCTATACACTGGGGAACACTTCACACAGAGGATCGATGTCCCACACTGACAGGAAATACACAACATACAGTATGTGCTAATGGAAAAAAGAAATAATTGAAACTGAGGATACTGATACGACTTAAAACTAATGAAAACGAAATTTAAGAAATCATTAGAATGAATTCAGTTTGAGGTGTTCTGGTAGCCATTCATTAAATTCATTAAAGCACTCTACATAGAGGATACATGAGGAAGAGTGGTGAGAACACACCTTAGATCCTTAAAGTCTCAAAGACATTGACAGACTGTAGAGATGAGACTTCCTGCTAAAGTCAGGTCATTGTTTGAAGCCAGATGAGGCTGAGCACTGACAACGAGAGCTGTGTCACTGTGGGGTCTGGCTGTCATGAACTCAGGAGGATTTATAATCAAATGACCTGTTTATCAGAGACCTAATCAACGCTAGCCAATCTAAAGTAAGGGTTATTGAATTTCACATTTTTGCCTAAAAGTAGAATTTTGTTAAAATGTCATGTATGATTTTATGTATATATATTTTTTATATAACATAGAAAGTTTCAAATCAATCACTAAATAAAAATATTTTGTTTGACAGAAATCTGACTTTTATGATTCATAATTTGAGCAATAGAAAATCTGCATTTTTTGTATTTCTTAGCCGATCATATTTTAAATGAACAGCCAGTTTTGCTGATGTGTTTCTAAAACTTACTACTATAAACTAATATGTAACTGCATAGAAACTTTTAACTCATCAATAAATGCTTCTATTGAATGTCTCTTTTGATTTAAATTTTCATTTTTGTCTTGTGAAATGAAACACTTATAAACTTTGTATTTCAGAGAGAACAACTATTTGAGCCTCTGTATTATCACAGAAAATGCATGTGATTTTTTTCTGTAGTATAGTTTAGTAGTGTTGTAGTGTAGTGATGAAACATCGCTACACAGTTTGAATCTGAGCCAGTATCAGTTAAGTGTTGCTCATCAAATGATTGTTAATGCTGAAGCTTTGTTTAAGGATAACACTGATGATGACAATAAATTCCTTTAATCACTGAACATTGTGTGTTTCAAGCTTCATTTACCCATAAAGTCTGTGAGTGGAGATGCGCTGATGTGTGAGGCTCTGGCTGTATGTGTGAGCCTTTGGGCTCCACTAGATGGTGCTGTTTTAATACAAATCAACACTGAACACTGAAAGAAAATTAAAATGATCCAAAATGATAGTACAAAGAAATTTGAACAAAATAGATTTTCAGATCATCAGATACAGTCAATGAAAGTATAGATAAATGACAAATAGATTAAACTGTCTGTGTGTGTATGTGTGTGTGTGTGTGTGTGTGTGTGTGCGTGCGTGCGTGCGTGCGTGCGTGCGTGTCTTTTCTTCATCATGAAAGTTACTGTGGCTAATGATTGTATATAAAGATACACATAACCTTATTTAGAAGACATGGACTAGACTTATTCACACACACTGATGGTGAGTGTAGAGAGAGAGCGAGAGTAACTGAACTCAATTTAATCAAATGTCAGTGATTTTTAATCTAGCTGGGGAATCCAGAAAACACTCTCTGGAGGCAGATAAAACAACTGAACATACAGCTCCCAGTTCTCAGACAAATCAATAGAAATCTGTGCTTCCTCTGCCTCTGCTAAAAGATCAGTGAAATTTGACGCTCTCCTCCCCCACCTTTGTCTCTCCTCTGCCATGTTTGCATTTTCATGTTTACACAACACACACTTTCTTAGATGTGCAAACACTACCTCTCTTGACCCCCACTGAATCCTTCAGTGATATAAACAAATATTCCTCAACACATTTTCTATACAGTGAGATCCAAAAATCTGAAACCACTGTCCCATTTATTTGAATGGGAACATTGTGTTTCATGCCTCATTTGCCCATGAAATCTGTGTGTTGAAGTGAACTGATATGTGTGTTTAAGCCTTGACTGTATGTATTAACTCTATAGACTGACTAGAGGGCGCTTTTTCAGAAAATATTAACTAAAAATGCAAATGTTCCATGCCTTTTTTGACAGATTTTAGTTCTCTTGCGAACTTTTGTCCATTTGTCCATTGTCCATCCCTTAAGAGCATTTAAAAAATATACATAGGTGGATCTTATTTGGATATCTTTTAAAGGAGCTATTTGTAAGTTTTGCCAATGCTACATAGCTAACATTAGCATTAACAGCTATTTACTTAGAAGAAATGTTGAGAGTTCAGCATCAAACTTCATTCCTTTGCTGTCTCCATCAGTTGAAAGCAACACCAATGTTAACTCTTGTCTCTATCACGTCTTTTCTTCTAATGAAGTTACCATGCTAATCAGCTAGCCCCAGTTAGCCTCATCTCTGTGGCCTCCAATCTGCCCGAGGACGTAGCGTTGCTAAGAAGGCATATTATAACCTATTATAAACACTACGATGGCTGAAGCTATTGTCAAGCGACAATCAACACCACCTGCTGCAAGCAAGAAACCAGGTTCAGTGGAAGTGAAAACTTACAAATAGAACCTTTAATGTGATACACAATGAAAAGTCAGTGAATTGTTGTAGTACAGTACACACTACTATTTTGAAGCAGCACTAATCAATATTTGTATATGAACAATGGGTCAGTAGACCATGTGTAATGTCAAACATGTCACTTGTAGTGAAGACAGTTATCACCAATCTGCAGTTGCATTCATCTCTACTGAGCGTTTTAGAGTTTTAACTTCATTGTTTTGGTTGTACAGCTGCAACTTTACTATTGTGGTTTACATAAACCTTATTTTCAGCCACAGGGGGAGCTGTTTTAAGTGAAAAGGCTCTGATAAACCCACTGTACACTACCTATCCAGCACTAGCACAAGTTAGCAACTAGCTGTCGGACATAGCTGAGCATTCCTGGCAAAAGAGCCTGATGTGTTCTTCGCGATTTGGTGGAGACCAAAACAGAGCTAAAAGGAGAGTGAATACTGGAGTAACATCGTCAGGTTGTCCGAAATATGACTCAGAATGAATGGTAATGTTCATCTGTCTTGGCTAGATCTGTAAATCGGCAACCATTGGCTAACATGCTCACTATATCAGCTTTATAACAGACACTCATTTGGCTGTGTCCACCTAGCTAAAATTAATGCAGTCTAATACAACAGGTCTGCAATAAATCCTCCGTCATCAAGGTTCAGTTTTTGTTGAAACACTGCATTATGAGCCTAAAACATTTTGGACAAAACGGTACGAACAGCTGTCAGTATAACACAATTCAGTTCAACAGCTCCAAAAACTGCAGCCTCTAAAAGGACAGACAGTTGTGTCACCTTGTGTTTACAGATTATTCTACTGTAAACACAAACATATAAATTAATACTGCCTTAAAGGTAAAGGTGTAATTACTAGCTTCAATAGACCAGTGACAGATTGAGAAGACCTTGCTTCAGTCAGATCCTGATTGATTTCCATAATCTAGTCCTGCTTACCAACCTTACAACCATCAGCATCGACCTTTCACTCAGCAGGCCCACCAGCAACACTGATGATGGCTCTGTTCCAGTGAGGTGTGCTGACGAGTTAGCATGCATTGGGAACCGAGGCTGTGGAACTGGCACAGCAGAATGAAATACAGCCAATAGTAATACTGTTAGTTGCGTCACTGTCACCATGAGAAACAAATTCTGCCCTCAGGGACTCTCTCAAACAACACGCTCCTCATCGTGTGCACGGCTGCAGGACTGGTCCACTGTGTGAGATGTTTTCATGAGTCTGCAGTCCTGCAGACTTTGCCTGATGGTTTAGCTCCCAATTCATCATGTTGCAATAATAAACAAGACAAAGAATCTACCACTAAACACAAAGTAGAGGTGAAGCTGATGGAAATGTCACTAGTGTTGCAGGTATTTGGTCATAAAAAAAAAGTATCAGACGTGTTAAAATTCTGACCAGATGATGGTGTTATGGCGTAGGATTCATCCTGAGGGGATCATGAGTTTGTGTACTAAATCTCATTACAATTCATCTAATAGTTTTCAAGAACTTTTATACAAAATTTCACAGCAATTGCTTTAACACTTTCTGAGATATGTCAGTCTTGACCGAAGTAGTAGATTGACTGACCAACAGACTGATATTGCCATCCCTAGAGCCACTAGCATGGCTAAAACAAAACCAAGCAACAGTGGAAGTGACTAGCAAGAACATGTTAAGGCTGCATGTACATTATCTAAAGGTGAGCACTGTGTGTACGGTGATGATCACTTCCTGAATCGTTTTGATCCTGTCTGATCCAACTGTATCTAGGTGTAAAATGGTAGTGGGTTATCCTCTGTAGGTGGCACATCCCCCCACTGCTTTGAGTGTCAACTCTCTTACCTTATCCACACGTCCTTACAGTGCTTTGAGTATAAACACTTATACTTCAACATAGAGGTATTTTATCTGCCTCCAGATCCTGATACCAGTAGGTTTCTGCTCCAGTTTATACCCTAAACAAAGCAATAATGAGGGTAGTGGAAAAGCAAATGACAGAAATGCATTCAGCCATTTTAGGTTGAAAGCATAAGATGTACTTGCGTGTCCTCATGATATACACTAGGGAAGAGCTTTGGTTTGTGGTTCAGGAGTTAGGAGTTGGTGTGTGAAGTGAGGACATTCGGGCTGGCTCTGCCTTCTTCAAGGGGCCAGTTTAGGGTTAGGGTTTGGGCTTGCCCAGGGTTACCCAGACAGCACACAGTGCTCACACAAAGGCATCCCAACCATGAAGGCTGAGAGTGGGCGACGGTAAGTGTCACATTAGCCAACGTGGCCTTTGTTAGCTTATATTGGATGCAACAGTTTATTCTGGACTAATTCATGGAGTACAACATATGGCCTTGGTATTTGTGGAAAATTACCTCTACAGCAGATTGTTGCAACTACAGTGTTACACAGCTTAATGACTGTTCTGACTGGGTGGTCTGGTCTAGTACAAAACTATTCCCTTGACATCAAGTGTTATTTGCGACATATGTTATTTGTTTAATTCTATGTTGTTGTTGTTTTATACCTTTTTTTATACCTATATGAATTCCATTTTATTCCTCTACTGCACTACAGTTCAGAGGGAAACATTACTCCGCTTTTTCAACTTCAACTTCAACTTCATTGGTTTGCAGCAGGCATCATGAACACATCAAAGACATTAAACTATATTGACAATAATAAACATCAAATACAGAACGCAATCATTCCGGGAGTGGTCAGCTCAAGTAAAGAAGGGGGACATTTTTACCCCCTTGAACCAACAACATCAGAACGGCAAACACCAGGCAAATACCAGATCCCCCCAACTTATGCAGTAGGTTTGACATAAATACTGCATCAAGTCAGGTCCATTACATTACATTTATTTAGTTACTAGTTACATACACAACATACAAAAGCTTATAAAACATGATGCATTAACCTAACACAAAATAGTTACATTTTGTTTCAATCAAACAACTACAGTTAAATGATACTTAAATAACATTAATGCATTAGCATTAATAATGAAATATAATGGTCTGATATTCACTGAGGCCATTTTTATTCCTCCGCACCAGTGGTCAAAGGTCATAGGTCAAGGTCAAGGTCACAGTGACCCCAGAAACCACTTTTTAGCCATTATTACTCAAGACTTTACACAGCAAATATGACCAAACTTCACACAAATGGTTGATATTTTATCTGATTCTGGATAAACAGGGATGTAACATGAAACTAGTCTGAGTGGAGGAGGCAGACAACCATGAGGCGGTAATTCTAGTTCTTCATGTACTTATTTAATGTGCTTATACTTTAAATACATTATGCTGATAATATTCACATACTTTTACTTACATAGCATTTTCATTGTAGAACTTTTACTTGTAAATAAAAGGTGTGAATACCTCTTCTATCCTCTATCTTCTACAACCTATTTGGATTATGGTCACATGGTACTATGGTTATACTGTTTAAAAATGCCACTTTGTTCATGACCTTGACAGTACAACTCTGTAATAATACCATGGCAGTGATTGTA